GAAATCTCACCCTACAATGGCATCCTGGGCAGACCATGGATTGGTAAGATCAACACCATCACCTCCGCCACTCATCAGAAAATCCGCTACCCAATTCCTGGGGGCGGTGTCGGCCAGATCAACAGCGACCAGGCAATGGCGAGGAAATGCTCAGCTCAAGGGCTGAAGAAAAGCAAGCCAACACAGTTCCTCCCTGTGAATCAAGCAGACCTGGAGGGAGCAGAACAGCCAGACCCCGTTCCTAGCAACCGAGCAAGCCAGAAGGGGAAGGGGATAACTATCCCCTTATAGCAATCAAAGCATCAGGACCAAGTCGAGGAAATCCGTCCGGAGGTCTCCCCTGAAGAAGGATGGAAACCTGAAGAGGACGTCGAGCTAATACCCTTGGATCCTGACCAGCCAGACAGAAAAGCGCGGATCGGCTCGCGCCTAAGCCCAGATGAGAAGGCGGAGCTGACCACCTTCCTCCAGAACAACAAGGACATGTTCGCATGGTCGCCGTCAGACATGCTAGGCATCGACCCAAACATCATCTGCCATCGCCTCCACGTCAACCCTGCCAGCAAGCCAGTGGCACAAAAGAGACGCAACTTCGCCCCAGAGCGGGTCGCAATCATTGTAGCCGAGATCGACAAACTTCTAGCAGCCGGCTTCATTGAAGAGGTCTCCTACTCTGAGTGGTTGGCCAACGTTGTTCTGGTAGCGAAAAGCCAGTGGCACAAAAGAGACGCAACTTCGCCCCAGAGCGGGTCGCAATCATTGAAGCCGAGATCGACAAACTCCTAGCAGCCGGCTTCATTGAAGAGGTCTCCTACTCGGAGTGGTTGGCCAACGTTGTTCTGGTAGCAAAACAAGAAAAGGGCAAATGGAGAGTTTGCGTCGACTACACTGACCTCAACAAGGCATGTCCAAAAGACAACTTCTCATTGCCGAGAATCGACCACACTATGCCAAAATTCACTTTAGGCAACACTTAATAGGCATCGGAAAACATGAAATTGATGCTATTAGTCTCTTAGGCTTCAGTTTTATAAAAACCGAGACCATAGAGGTGTAAAGACATCACAACCAATATTGGGCAATCTGAGTCGATGCCTTTATATGGAAGTAGCATCGATCGATATTTGAATTGATGCCATATATCTTTCATGTATTTTTTTTAAAGTAAAAGTTTCAATGACCGATGCCTTATACCCAGGTCAACTCCCCCCAAAAAATTTCATCCTTTTCCCTCAAAAAATTTCACTAAGTCTTAAACCTAACTCTCTCTCTCTATCTCTCTTCTCTCCCTGTCAAAAATCCCAAAGTTCTTCTCTCTGCTCTTAACTCTCAAAAAGAAAAAATCGTGAAGCACACAAAGTTCTCTCTCTGCTCTTGACCTCTCAGTCGTGACTGTACCCTATGGCTGGCTCTCAGTCGTTTCTGATCTCGAACTCTTCTCTCCCTCCTTGCGAAGGCTCAAGGGTTTGGGTTCTGAGCAATTCTGTCAGAGGTCGATTCGGCGACTACTTCGTACAGGGATTTGGCGAGCATCGAGTGACGAATCCAACAATGTTTCAGAGACCCATCCAAGGTATCTATTTCACTTTCTCTGTATGCTAATTTGTTTTTTGGGGTTTATGTACCGATTGCAATTTTTTGACTTGCGACTGACTTTATTTTTTTTAGGGTTGTTTTGTTTGATTTCTATTTGATAGATGATATATTTTTTTTCCAGGGGTTCTGTTCTCCTATTTAGAGAGGTTGGACTGTTATATGGGCTTGATTATTTGTCTTCACTTGATCTGACTGTGTGCTATTTTTCAGTTTCTTAGTGATTGTGTTTTCCTTGCCTTTTTTATTTTCCTCTAGATCGAGGTATTGGATATTCAGGAAAAGAATTGTACTGCAATACTGATGGGGAACACAGGAAGTGTGAAATCTCTCTGTCCTCATCAAACTAATCCTGGGTTTTGGTATGTTCCCATAAGTGTTGCGTTTTCTTCCTCGAAGAAGAGATAAGTCAGGTGTTCCATCTGAGCCGACTGTAATTCCTTGTTTGTATCTTTTATTTGGTTTTCTGAACTTTTCTGGACATTTCCTAGTAACCAAACCAGCAAAGAATCTGGTTTAAGTTATATTTGTTGAAATGTACGAAATTTCTACTTCTGTTTGGAATTTCAATACAATTCCCGTGAAGTTTGCGTGTTTATTGAGGTCTTTCATTTGGGTTTGTGCAGAAATTTGAGAAGACCCATTGGACTGTAAAAATTTTCAAGTAATGGAGGATGTTCTGGACCGGCAAAGTCAACCACTTAGTATGTATAATCATACTTTGACCTTCATTTTCAATTAAAGAAATAATTTTTACTTTCTACACTCCATTAAATCTTTGAGGTACACTCGGATACTGTAAGACATGTCAAAACTATCTATATTGTACACTTGGATGGTGTCCAATAGAAACTGAATTGAAATTTTATCGGATGCCAGAGGTATTTTTGGTTAATACTAGGATTGAACTGAGTGTTAAAACTTCATTTATAAGTTCCATAATTTTATAAGTAGAATTTTCTTCAAATCCTGGTTGTGTTTCAACAACTTTCAAATAAGGTGGTTTTGAAGTGATTGAGTTGAAATGAATACATGAAGATCTTTTCTTATCCTCATGAAAAAATCTTCAATCTACAATTCTTGTTGGTCATTATCAAGTCAAACTATTGTTCAGTTAGAACTTGATAGCATTTTGGAAATAATTTATGTTTCGAGAAGGAACACATGAGTTTCAATAGAATACTCATAGTGCACCATGATATATGGTCATTTAAAAATCTGCTTCACTCCTAAGCAGAGGGGAAAACAACATTCTTCTCTTTCACCTGTACACATTATACAGGGCCTATATAACTGACATCCCCACATATCTATTAGGAGTTGTGAATACAGGGATTTGTCAGTTACTAACATAAAAATAATGAGGAATGATGAATCAGTGTATGGGGAGGAGAATGATGAATCAGGGTTTTCTCACTCTTTTTTTTTCATATGCTATTTTTGTGGAATAACTAATGAGAATACAACTAATTTAAACCACTGCTTTTATGTCTGAATCATGCTGTAACATGAAATGCATTAACTACAGTGATGATAGTATCTCAATATAAGAATCTTATAAGCATGCCTAGGTTCATGGGTCTTTATTAAAACCAATTTAGATGTTGAAGTTTTGCTAGCATGCATATGTCATGCATGATATTTAAAGCATCCATTTGAACCAGTTGATGTTGCGTGTTTAGTTGTTGATCATGCCATGGCTGGCTTTCAATCTCTGTATCATAAGACAATAATATATATTTGCACTTATGGTACATGGCTTATAAATTCTTATCTTACTCTTAAATGTTGTGCCTACTTGGTATATATTTGCACTTATGGTACATGGCTTATTTATTTAAGAATTTAATTTCATCTATAAGAAAATAATATGCTTGAAATCTTTTTCACAGCAATGTGCCTCTGTTTTTTTGGTAGTTAGGTCTGTCAATTGAGAAAAAATGCTAGCTGTGCTTGTCCAACTCTCTACCCCATCACATGATCATTTAATTGCTAGTTTAAACATGAAGTGGGATCCAATTAATGACTTCTTGTTATCTAATTAGATTGATTGACAAATTAGATTTTCTTGTTCACCAATATGATTTCATAAATTTGCATATTGGTTCATTTGAAGTGACAACATATCTTATGCAAATTTAGTACCTTGCACTTTTTAAGCTTATGTTCATATTTTGTGTTTACATTCTATGTGTTTTTTTTTTCCAGTATAGAGCTAGAAGGAAGGACACATACACCCAAATGGAATTGGATGAGGTGCGAGAAGAATTGGCAAGTCATGTCCTAGAATGGCTTTTTGATTAAGCTAAACATTCCTTCATTTTATATGTCTTTCTAGCTAGTATTTTGCTTATGCATAGACAAGTATGGATAATTTGTGGTGTAGGGCTGGTAAATTTGTGATTTGGATGTGACAAGTATGGATCATTCAAGTATTTTGCTTATATAAGAAAGTATGGCATTTCTTAAATACTATTACAGTAACTAAGTAAAGTGTGATGTGAAACAAGTAAAATACCTACCCTTTCCTTACATAAATGATGCCTATTGTTTATAACAACTTCAGTTTTCCAGAAATAACTGAAGTTGAAAGATAAAAACAACAACCAAACATCTATTATCACTGATGCCTAAAACAAAAAGTAGCATCAGCATTTATGTAACCATCAGCACTATTGGAGGCTTTTCATGTCCGCAAAATAAAAAAAGCGATGATGTATAACATAATTCACAACACCATTATATGTTTCTACGATGTTGTAATTGATAATATGCATCAGCATAGTAGATATCACTGATGCTGTTAGACCTCTTTAGCATCATCC